TATATATATATATATATATATATATATATATATAGGGGAGACATAGGGAGAGAGTCTATTCTAGGAGCTTGTCAATATGGCTAAAGGGAAATACTCAGGATGCCGCAAACCTAAATAATGATTGTGTACATGGTCATTGAAAGAGAGAAGAAACAAACAATGAGATAAGTAGCTCTTGGCGTCCAGATGTAGCACGGAATGGGAATGAATGTAGCCTCTTAATACTTGCTGATCTGGGGAAATGGATTAGGGTTGAAGGACTGTTGCCCAAGGGGGGAGGACAGGGTGACGGGGGACTGAACCGCAATGTGCCACAATCACTTGCATCCAACACGTGGTCACACATTACCAGGCCAATTGCTTCTCGGCAGGCAGCGTGATTGGAATAGAATCGGTGCCCTGGGCAGTCCGAGCCACTTGCCCAGTGGCTCAGTCACTGCATGCCCATTTTCCGTTCTTTCCATTAATCTATTTGTGTTGAACGGTGGCCGACAGCTGGCTCAAGGACAATGGGGGGTGGGGGGCAACCACGTTACAGCGTCCCACCTGCTGTTGTACTCCGAGACCTTGTGTAACGAGTGAGATGCCTGTAATATGTCATATTATGAACATTTGTTTTCTGAAAAGCAAATAGAGCAGACTGACTGATGCGGTAAGATATGAAAATGTCACAATAATCTCATTAGCTGAGGTTTCTGGACTGCGCATGCATTTCAACAGAGCATTTTAGCTGACAGATCTATCTTAGACAATTTATCATTTTTTGCCCAGTTATCTAGCTAAATCATTTCACTGGAGCAACTAAAGTTAAATGGCTTCAGGTTTTAATCCTGTGACCTTAATCGCTGTGTCACCTAATAATTGTCTTCACCATGTCAGCAGCATGTTCTAATAAAAAAAACAAAACAATTTTTTTTATGGCACGTGGGACGAAGGGCTAAATGATGGGCATTTGGGTGAACAAAGGGGGGGGAACAAAACTGAACAAGGGCTAAAAACAAACAGGACCACAATGGGTCAGAATGGGAGGACTGGTACAGGGAAGGACACAGGCAGACAGGAGGAGCGACGTCAATGACCAGACTGGGGATGACGAGACAAAAAGATATTTACATATTAGGACTAATGAGGGGCAACGAGCAAGAAGCGCGGCTCATCAGGGTCACGCTAGGGGGGAGACAGAAGGGTTAGGGTTGGGGTTAGGGTTAGGGTTAGGCGGACATGGCGGGCAGAACGTAACATTTTTAATCTGTCAATGAGAATCATTACCGTATAAGAAACGATATGTAAGTATCATATCATGACTAGAGAATTAGGTCATCATACTTACTAAAATAGTATGCTTCATTTGCATTACAGTGTCAAAATCAATGCCTCACGATTGTCTACTATAGCCATACAATGTAGCATTCAGTCATTTGTGGTCACAACAACGGTTTACAAAAGTTGAACCAATCTCTATACATAACACAGCTTTCACAGCCTTGCAATTATTAATTGCACTTGTTAAAATGGTCACTTGAGATTTAAATTCCAAAACTGAGTCTCAGTGGTGGTATCAAAAAAGGGTTTTTGAATGAAACACACATCTTGTGACAGAAAAAAAAACATTTCTGAATTATTAAACAAAATGGATCATTTATTGCATTAATTTGGTTATTTAATTAATACATTGTTAGTAATGAATGGAACACTGATAGATCATGTCCTTTCACAGCCTTGCAATTACAGTGGTACCTCAGAACTCGAACTTAATCCGTTAAGAACTCCGGATCGAATCCTAAAAAGTTAGAGATCTGATCAAATTTTCCCCATAAGAAATAATTGAAAACCAACTAATTGGTTCCCGGCCCCAAAAAATTACACCTGAATATGCTTTTTTTAGCATTTAAACACAAAATGAACCGGATAAAACAAGAAGAGCATATACTGTACTAAACACATCTAAGCATATTTATCAAAACAATAATTTGTAAAGTAAGAAAATAAATGTATCCAAACAATGTGTAACGTTAAAACAAACAATGTGTCCTGCCCCGATCGTCCGCTCCTTCCGTGTGCCACGCCCCCTCGTTAACCCCGTGTGGAATCCCCGTGTGATCAGCTGTTTCAAGCTGTTTTCATTAGTCCTCTGTATTTAATCCGCATTTCAGTTTGTTTCCCCAGTCCGGTCATTGTATTGTCCGTCTGCGTTTTGCCTGCCTTACCTGTAATTAGACCCCGTATTCCCCCATACCCTGACGTCTGCGCCTTTGTCTCCATTCCGTCCCCGCTCGGCACGACAATATTATTATAATTTAATGTATTAATGGTTTATTATTAATATTAAAATAATGAATAAGAATTTTTTATTTTTAAATGTATTTTATTATATAATAATATTCACTGTTACTGTCTATCATTTTCTAAATGTATTTTTACTACGTGTCTAAATATATGTATTCCGCTAGTATAAACATGCACACATGCTATTACATGCTATCACAGCGAATGCGAGGCTGAGACTGAAGCGTTACCCTTTGTTTCCGCTGAGAGACATGCCTTGTGACTCATTTCCCCGCGCGTACAAGTTATCTTAGGTCAGCGTTCACGGTTTGACTTCTGAGATTAAGATCGAGTTCTAGGTAATTTTTTTTTAGTACTAGTACGTTGGCTCGATTTTTAAGAAATTCGAGTTCTAATGAGTTCGAGAACTGAGGTACCACTGTATGTATAAAAGTTTTATGTACCTCTGCACCAAAAAGAGGAAATAATGTTCTGCCTGTTTATCACATTGTTTGTCATTTACATTGTGATGTTTGACTATTTCCCAAAGGCCAACCTGTTCACCTGCTCTACAGAATCTACCATTTCTTGAAAGCATACATACATCTCCCATAACTATTTACTGAGGACAGGGTCATGGGCTTGGAGGCTATCACAAGTGGCACTTGTGGGCAAGGCTGTGGGGCGTTTTGTATGTAACTGCATGTTTTTGGACTGTGGGAGGACACAAGAATACCTAGGAAACGACGTGAACACGGAGGGAACATGCGACTCCACGCATAAATTCAATGGTAGTAATAGACCCCATAACCCTGGAAGTCTGAGGCTACCAGCAGGACAAAAATTCTTTACAAGACTTTACAAGAACGTGCCGAGCTGTTCGATATGTGCAGCCAACTGCTGCACTTTTTATGAGTGCTCAAGGACACTGTTAGGCTGAACAAACTTTTGAGGAAAGCCACCTCTCTCATAAAAGCCGTAGGAGAGGCAAAAATGTGTCCAAGCTGCATTCTTGTCTGAATAAGGAGGCCCACTTTCTCAGCAGAGAGCCAGCACAGCACCTTCCTCCACAGGTTTATTTCCCTAACTTTCTTTGACCCAACAGTATATTGTTCCAACTGCACTAAATTAGGCATCTTTCATAATTACAGAAATGTTTCTACTTTACTTGTACCACCCACATTGTACTAGATCTGGTGTTTTTATTTCTTTGTTGTTTTTTTTGTTTGGATGCTATTCTCCAACCATCCATCAGTTTTCTAACTGCTTTGGTATTCGGTCTATCAATATGCATACTTGACCGTTCTTGTGTTCTTGTGCATCCATTTTACGTCATCTTCCATTGCTGAATACTACTAATACAAATACAGAGGATGGTAAAAATCCCCAGATGTTGGTCTTACTCCGCCCCAAATATCAAGGATGCATCAGTTGCATCCTCGCCGAGCAAGACCAATCCCATGATTTCTTGTGTCCCAAGTTTGTTTTTGGGAGGCAAGTAAGCAAGACCGCTCTTGCCAAGAACAAAGTACTATCTTTGCGTTCTTTGTATTGAGAAACGCCCCTTATTGTGGTCAGGGTCTTAGGGGGTCTTGAAAAATTCAAATAGCAACATAGAGCAGAAGACTGATGTACACCATAGATTGGATACAGGTTTATCACAAGGCACATGCACACTTATAATCTTATTTAAAGATGCTGGTTAGCCTAACCACATGTGTTTTGGAGTAAACCTGTGTAAGAAACTGTAGTCTATAAACAAACAGTGGTGGTAGCAACCAAACCGTTAACACTGGAAGGATGAAACAACAATGCTACCCACTGAGCCACCTTGCTGCCACCTCGAGGATCAATAAAACAGTCTGTCTCGTCTTATCTTATGTGATTGTGCATTGTCTTGTCTGGGTCTTGTCTTATCTCTGTATTTGAACTTTCTTCTGAATGTAGTATTTGTTGTAAGTATCCCACATCCATTGCCGGTATGCCTCCGCTCTGACAAACAGATGTGTCTCAATATAGCAGCTAATTTAGCTGGTTGGGAATGGTTGGCGAGTCGTCATTCGCCCCACTGAGAAATTAACATGATCATTTACATTTTAATTAAGAACAGATAGACAGAAATCAATTAGGGTTTAAGTGAAGGCACATGCCATAGCGGTACCTGCAGGGTACAATGTGTCTGTCTCTGTAAGCTGCCAGGGGCCCTAAAGAATTCCTTGTGACGTATTTGCTCTGAGACACAGCAAAGCTTCAAAAACCAAATGCGTGTTGGCAGCTGCAGACCAGCGTGTGGCGTATTTCTTACACTGTGTAATAATAGGCATTTTGGCTTAACAGTGTATTGCTTCCTGGTGGAAAATCTGTTTATGAATCGTAATATTTATAATATGAGTCACCCCCATTATAGACCAGTAGGTCTTGTTACTGGGTCTTAACTCCAATATGAATGACCATTTCCTACTCATTTTGTGTCTGAGCAGAAAGCTGGTTCACAAGAGAAATCCTGAAGCCATTCGGAAATCATTTACATTTCAAAGCACAAGGATATATCCTTCAAGTGGGGGGGGGGCTCAAAATTTGTCTTCAATTGTGCAACCATCTAGACGATTTTGTTAACTGGTGTGGGTTTGCTATAATAACCTCCCGCTACACTGTGGTTTATCACAGGAAACCAGCTGCAGCGAATGACAACTGGAACCACTGTTAACAAAGAGAAACACCATAGACGGTCGTTCAGCTTGTCGTTCACCTTAAACGAGCCTGACACGTGAGGAATGCTGAATCCTGATCTCCTCTCGCCATTTCTAGGGGCGGACGTGATAAACTTCGACGGCCAGGGTGTGATCTCATATCGTTTTAAAATGAAGAAGATGAAGATCTTGAAGGATGTCATCACCTTGAAGTTTAAGACCTCGGAGAGTGAGGGGGTGATCCTGCATGGGGAGGGACAGCAGGGCGACTACATCACCCTGGAGCTGAAGAAAGCTAGACTGGTTCTGCAGATAAACCTAGGTAGCTCAACACCGGGCCTTCATTAAGATGTCTGTTAACTGTCTTTTATTGCTGATGGGTAAATGAGCGGAGGCGTGGGAACCAAAGAGGACGGGGGAGGTGGGGGGTAGTTTTTAATTTGGCTTCATTTGTCCGCTGCAAAAATAGACTTCTACATTAAAATTAAGTTCCGTCCCCCCGATATCAAATCTCTCCTACTCCCTTGTAAATGAGTGATTGAGTTCTTTGCTCGTCAAGTCATTCTGAAATATGCCATTTAATGTTATGTGTTGTGCAAACCATAGGCAGCAATCAATATGGCTCCATACTGGGGCACACATCAGTGACCACTGGAAGCTTACTGGATGACCACCACTGGCACTCGGTGCTCATCGAACGCTACAGGCGGAATGTCAACTTCACCCTGGACCAACACACGCAGCACTTCCGCACCAACGGAGAGTTTGACTACCTTGACCTGGACTACGAGGTAAGAAAAAAAAAAAAAAACCACCGTCAAGGAGTTCTTGCAATTTACTCAGCAGGCACAAGAACTGACTTTAAAAAAGAATTTATAAGGCTCAATTTTTTACCTAGGTTAAAAAAATAATTCCATAAAATTTGCGTGACATGCATGATGTGTGTTATCCTGTAAAACCGGATAAATACAGTAATAATCTCCTGACCAAATTGCTATTCTTTTATATGGAATATGGTATGCAGTCTGGCTATCTGCTGAATCTGTGCTGCATTTTAAGCAGGGGTCGGGCTGTTTGCTCTCTATGGAAATGCACTTTTTTATCAACTGACCGATGACAGCCCGTCAGTTGATAAAGTGCTGCGGAGAGTTACCAGCGGCCCCCTTCCACTCTCATTCTACCTGTCCTCCCCGCTTTCCATGGGAGAAAATGAACTAGGAGTACATAGTAATTACCCTCCTGCTCTCGCTGGAGCTCCGGAGTCAATTCAGACCACGCCACCAGAAAGCAAAGTGGGTGCTTATACAATATACTCATTAAATAGAAGTTTAGAAAAACACAAAAAAGTCAGCCTTATTCCCGTGATTGTCCCAATTTGCATGTGCATAATTTTTACTTGGTTTTAAACAACAAAAATTATGTAATCTGTACCTAGATGAACAGCACTGTGCTACTATAAATATATATATATATATATATATATATATATATATATATATATATATAGGGGAGACATAGGGAGAGAGTCTATTCTAGGAGCTTGTCAATATGGCTAAAGGGAAATACTCAGGATGCCGCAAACCTAAATAATGATTGTGTACATGGTCATTGAAAGAGAGAAGAAACAAACAATGAGATAAGTAGCTCTTGGCGTCCAGATGTAGCACGGAATGGGAATGAATGTAGCCTCTTAACCTTGCTGATCTGGGGAAATGGATTAGGGTTGAAGGACTGTTGCCCAAGGGGGGAGGACAGGGTGACGGGGGACTGAACCGCAATGTGCCACAATCACTTGCATCCAACACGTGGTCACACATTACCAGGCCAATTGCTTCTCGGCAGGCAGCGTGATTGGAATAGAATCGGTGCCCTGGGCAGTCCGAGCCACTTGCCCAGTGGCTCAGTCACTGCATGCCCATTTTCCGTTCTTTCCATTAATCTATTTGTGTTGAACGGTGGCCGACAGCTGGCTCAAGGACAATGGGGGGTGGGGGGCAACCACGTTACAGCGTCCCACCTGCTGTTGTACTCCGAGACCTTGTGTAACGAGTGAGATGCCTGTAATATGTCATATTATGAACATTTGTTTTCTGAAAAGCAAATAGAGCAGACTGACTGATGCGGTAAGATATGAAAATGTCACAATAATCTCATTAGCTGAGGTTTCTGGACTGCGCATGCATTTCAACAGAGCATTTTAGCTGACAGATCTATCTTAGACAATTTATCATTTTTTGCCCAGTTATCTAGCTAAATCATTTCACTGGAGCAACTAAAGTTAAATGGCTTCAGGTTTTAATCCTGTGACCTTAATCGCTGTGTCACCTAATAATTGTCTTCACCATGTCAGCAGCATGTTCTAATAAAAAAAACAAAACAATTTTTTTTATGGCACGTGGGACGAAGGGCTAAATGATGGGCATTTGGGTGAACAAAGGGGGGGGAACAAAACTGAACAAGGGCTAAAAACAAACAGGACCACAATGGGTCAGAATGGGAGGACTGGTACAGGGAAGGACACAGGCAGACAGGAGGAGCGACGTCAATGACCAGACTGGGGATGACGAGACAAAAAGATATTTACATATTAGGACTAATGAGGGGCAACGAGCAAGAAGCGCGGCTCATCAGGGTCACGCTAGGGGGGAGACAGAAGGGTTAGGGTTGGGGTTAGGGTTAGGGTTAGGCGGACATGGCGGGCAGAACGTAACATTTTTAATCTGTCAATGAGAATCATTACCGTATAAGAAACGATATGTAAGTATCATATCATGACTAGAGAATTAGGTCATCATACTTACTAAAATAGTATGCTTCATTTGCATTACAGTGTCAAAATCAATGCCTCACGATTGTCTACTATAGCCATACAATGTAGCATTCAGTCATTTGTGGTCACAACAACGGTTTACAAAAGTTGAACCAATCTCTATACATAACACAGCTTTCACAGCCTTGCAATTATTAATTGCACTTGTTAAAATGGTCACTTGAGATTTAAATTCCAAAACTGAGTCTCAGTGGTGGTATCAAAAAAGGGTTTTTGAATGAAACACACATCTTGTGACAGAAAAAAAAACATTTCTGAATTATTAAACAAAATGGATCATTTATTGCATTAATTTGGTTATTTAATTAATACATTGTTAGTAATGAATGGAACACTGATAGATCATGTCCTTTCACAGCCTTGCAATTACAGTGGTACCTCAGAACTCGAACTTAATCCGTTAAGAACTCCGGATCGAATCCTAAAAAGTTAGAGATCTGATCAAATTTTCCCCATAAGAAATAATTGAA